GCCTAAACCATATAGTACCAGTAAAACAGTAATATAGAACAGTAAAAATCAATATAAACATAATAACTATACAATATAAAGAAGGAGAAAAAACAAAACAAATACAACTTGCTGCCAAAATAAAATGCTGAAGCTTATCCTATGTCTTAGCTCACTTATACTTATCTATAGGGAATAGAGAGGGAGAGACAGTCAGAAATGGTTGGGGAAAGGGAGGGAATGCATTTAAAAAAAAACAAAACCCAAACTGCGGGTTTTGCTACACTGGGAGCTCCCTACACTGCTGCCCTTTCTCCTAGGGGCCACCATGGCAAGGTGCCACCTGCTTGCCCAGCAGCAGTGGGGGCCGTACTAAAGTTGTGCCCCGCACTGCTGCTGGGCAAGCAGGGGCACCTCCGCATGGCTAGCATGGGTCTCCCAGGGGGAGAGCAGCAGAGCAGAGAGCCCCAAGCCCGCAGTGGTTAGCCTGCATCCACCCTCACCTCCACCCCCATGGGCTCTGCTGGGCTCTGCCACAGCCATGCTGCTGGAGGGGAGGGGGTAGGGGGAAGGGCACATCATCTTAGCCCTCACCCACCTGGCCCCCACAAAAATAAAAGTCCCGTGCATGTGCATCTAACCCCCCCCAGACCCCCCGCAAAAATAAGTCGGCACCTGTGACTGCACTGGGACTGTGTCAGTCCCCTCTTGCATCCCCCAGCCCCTTCAGCAGCACCTCCTGCTGGGTAGGGGGGCATTGACTCTGTCCTCCAGAAGCTGCCCCCCAGGTGGTGCTGGAATCAAAGGGTCTCTAGATCACTGCTTCTCGACTTCTTTGTACCAGGACCCATTTGTAAACATGGATAGCCAGTCCTGACCCAGTGCCCCTCACTCCTGACCTGATACTCCCCCCGCCCTCAGCCCCAGCTTCCCTGCCCCCCGGTGTATGGGACAGGGGGTGGATGTCTGTGAGAAGGGGGGTGCTGTGGGAAATGTGGGGGGCAAGCAGCCCCCCACAAGCAGGAGCTTTTCCAGCCTGCAAGGGAAAAGCCACTGTTTCCCACGTTTCTCCTTTAAAGGGGAATCCAGTTTTAAAGTTTGTTCACAACTCTTTCATATATTCTTACAACCCACTTTTGGGTTGTGACCCACAGGTTAAGAAACACTGCTGTAGGCAGCAGAGCTGCCCCAGCCCACAGTGCCTCCCTCCAGCACAGTGGCAGTCATAGGTGGTAGATGGGGGGGCGATGGGGTGATGGGGCTAACCCCCCCCCCCAATGCTGGGCATCTGTAGCACCACAAGGCAGCCCAGCCACAGGCTTTTCGCAGCTGCAGCAGGGGTGGGGGAAGAGTGGGAGTGGGGCTGGGGCAGGCGCTGCACAGCCGGGGCAGGGTGGGGCCCGGGGCAGAGCCGCAAGCAGCTTGTCCAGGTGGTGTGGTTCCTGCTGCTACACGCACCCCAGGAGGGCACGGGGGGCATGTGCCCCTGGATCTGCGCCTGGGCAGGGCAGGCTGCTGCTGCGGGCTGTGGCCAGGGCTGCACCGAGCTCTTCCCAGAGTGGATGGGGACTGGGCCAGGCTGCACGTGGCACAGGCAGCAGTGGCATGGGGTGGGGAGCTGTGGGGGCTGCAGCCACTCCAAAATTTGCTGTACCCCCACCCCCAGTCCCACTCCCAGCACCACCATCACCCGCCCTGAGCACAGCCCAGACAAACCTGTCCCGCTGGGAAGAGTCCAGTGCAGCCTCGGTCACAGCCCACACCCCTGCCTCCCCCCACAGATCTGGGGGCACAAGCCCCCATGCTATCCCAGGGTGCATGCAATGGTGGGAACTGCCACCCCCTCCCCACACTGGGCGCCCCCCCAGACAAGTCGCTAGCAGCTTGGTCCTGAGCCCCATTTGTTTGGGGGGGGGGGTGTGCTCAGATGTGCACGCATGCTCAGCCCCCACAAATATTTTTTTTTCTCTCCACCTATGGCAGCAGTCAAGCAGGTCCTCTAGAGAGGGGCAGTGTCTTCTGCCTAGTGGGGTAGCTTTATTGCAGTTATCCCTGAATGCAAGCAGAGTACCTACTAACAGGGCCGGGTGCAGAGCAGGTGCAGTGGCAGGGCTGCACCCCATCTTTTGGATAGGACCATGCTGCAGGAGCCTCTGGGGACTTTTTAAAGTCTTGAAAATAGGTGAGAATCCCCCATCCCTCCTCCTCCATACTTCATTTCTCCCACTTCCTGCCCTGCAGCTGCTGCTCTCCTTGCTGTCCTGGGGCAGGGAAGCTTCACTTTCAAGCTTCACCAGTGGGCAAGGGAGGAGGCTAGGAGAAGGGATTGCTGCTCGTGCCCGCCCTTTGCCAAAACCTGGATCATGCTGATTTAATTTTGTGGGTCCAAACAGGTGCTCTAAGAATTTCCAGACAGATCATAAATGAACCTCTGGCCTTAACATGGAGGACATCGTGTGCTGCAACAATGAGCTGATGCC